ATTGAAATTTAGACGCTTAATCACATTCCTTATTTTAGTTGGAAATTCTACAAATTTCAAAAGATAAAAAGTATGTTTATTGGCAAGGATTATTCTCTTAAATCTTCACTCGGATTTTCATTTGCGTCAATGCAGTAAAAAACTTGATGAATTGGTAAAGAAGGTATAACTAGTTTTAGTTTTAATATAAAATTATTTAAAACCTGAGTTACCTTTTGATGATTAGAAATCCCCAATTTTGCACCTCCGACCTGGGACGGGAGAATTTCGTTTATTAGTAATTTCGTTTATTCTTAAGCACTAAAAAGGTGTAATTTAAATTTGATAAAAATTTGTTTCCAATTCCTGGTCAAAAAGAATTTTCTAGGAACATTGACCTTATTCTTGAGTCTTGGGGTAAAATCCCTGTTACTCTCAAATCATGGATTGTAATGCAGGTTCGGTATTCTAGGAAAATGAGTAAAAAATTATTTAAATATAATTTTTATTTTTATTCTAGGTTTTGTGTTTATTTTTGGCCTTGATTTTCATTTTTGACATTGGGCTTTTACCGTCGTCCACAAGGCTTGTTTCGCCTCTAATAATTATCCATAACAACTTGTCGAGTTAAGTTGAAAATATAACCGTGTCTGCAACTCTACCTAAAAACATGGAATTCCGACCTGGGAAAATCTGAAAATCATTAAACTTAGAAAATATTTTGGCCCGTATTTATTTATAATAATGTAATAAATTTATTTATAATTAATAGTGTTAGCATTTTTAGGCAGAAAAAAGTTAAAAATAAGAAAAAACAGGCAAAAAATCAGATATTTCTAGGAAGAAACAGGCATCTGCCTAAAAATCCTAAACCAAATAATTATTCATTTTTATATTTATTTAATACTTGTTTTAACATTTTCATAACATAATTAAAATTGTTTCTTTAAATGTTTATATAATAAGTATGTACATATCAAATATAAGAGAATTTAATATTAGAATCTGCCAAAAAATTTAGCTTTGAATTAGGTTTGTTCATTATTGTGTAATTTATAGCCCTTTATATACTAAACTTGTCCGCGAAAACCTGTTTATGCTACGTCTACATAAAAAAACGCGCGCGTTTTCCGCAGAAAATAGTATGGAAAAGTGAGAGAGAAAAAACGCCGGCGTTTTTTCGGCAAATTGAGAGTGTCTACATATGCTGCGTTTTCCGCTGCCGAAAAAACGCTAGCGTTTTTTCCGCAGTTTGAGTGTTTACATAAATTGCGTTTTCCGCCGGCGGAAAAAACGCTAGCGTTTTTTCGGCAGTTTGAGTGTCTACATAAATTGCGTTTTCCGCTGCGTTTTTTCCGCCGGCGGAAGAATTTTAATATCAAAACTGTTTGATATTTTTTTGCGGAAAATTTTTGATAAAATTGAAAAATTAATTTCTCGATCAATATTGGACCAATTTTAAAAATTTAAAAAGATTATTGAAATTTAAACTTTTATCTATCGATTGATATAAGTTTTTATTTTTTAAGTTTGAAATTTTATCACAAATTTTTTTTTGAAAAAGGTATACTTTTTGTTAATTTTTTTGTAAAATTGAAAAGGGGGGCCCTTTTGAAGGGTAGTAATTTTTAAAAATTGTATTTTAACTCTAAAATAATTTATCTAAATAATTTTTTCTTCTTTTTAGATAAAAAAATATTTTTTTAAATGTCAACCAAAATTGATATGAATTTATTTATTGAGATGATACAACAGAATGAAATAATTTGGCGTAAAGGGCACAGCGAGCATAAAGACAAAAACAAAAATGATAAAATTTGGTTATCGATTGCTGAACAAAGTGGATTTGATGGTTTTATTTTTATTTTATTTTTAAATTTTTGCTAAATTTTACAGATGTTAAATCTGCCAAACAGAAATGGAAACATCTTTGTGATTATTACTCCAAATTAAAGAAACCAAAAGCTTCTGGTTCTGATGGTAAAGATGTTAAATGGCCTTATTTAAATTCAATGTCTTTTTTGGAAGAAGAAAAAGAAAATTGTTCAAGGTTATATTTTATTTTATATTATATTTATAAATTTATAGTCGGATTGATTCAATTCAAACAATGTCTATTCCAAACGATGTTAAAGATTTATTAAATTGTACTATTTCAATGAGTTCAAGTGATGATGAAAATGAAAAAATTTTTACTCAAAAATTGCCTTCAAAACGTCGACGGCTTTCTGATACAGACAAGGATGACGCTGTTGATAATTGTATTGTTGAATTGGCTAAGCAAATTAAAGAAAATTTAAACGATTCTTCGCCAAATAAGCAATTTGGTTTGTATGTTGGATCAGAAATTAAAAATCTTTCAACACCATTACAAAATGAAGCAAAAACCAGAATTATGAATTTGTTAATGGAGTTAAAATCAAGAAAAAATTTAGTTTTCGAAGAAACGGAAAATCTTTTTCAAAACTTTTAATTATTTAAAAATATTTTAATATTTGAATAAAATTTCAAACAAATTAATTTATATATTTTATTGCGTTTATTTTACGATAGATTATTTTTTATTGAATTAATATTAAATTTATATAATATTTTCAGTAAATGCTTCCAGGAATATTGAAAAAATTAGATTTACTTTTAAAATTGATAAGATTAAGAAGAATGAGGAAGAGAAAGAAGAAACGCTTATGGGTTCACCCGTTACTTTCCAAACAACCAACTGAAGGTGAATTTGTAGTTTTGTTTCAGCAATTACGTAAAGATGAAGAAAAATTGCTACTGGAATGCAATATCGTGCACTTGAATATTCATTTCGTAGAAGCAGATCAACAATATCTTTAATTGTCAAACGTGTTTCGAAGGCTATCTGGTCATTACACGAAAAATATGTGAAATTACCTTCATCAAATGAAGAATGGAAAAATATTGCTAATGGGTTTGAAAAAAGATGGAACATGCCTTTGTGTATTGGTTTGTGAGAAATATAAAAACAATTTAATATTTTAATTAAATTTAGGAGCGTTGGATGGAAAATTGGTTAGAGTTCGTAAACCCAATAATTCTGGAAGCTTGTATCATGATTATAAGCATAATTTTTCTTTAAATATGCTTGCTCTGTGTGATTATCGGTTTTTTTAAATTTATAATATTTTTACAATTGATATTTAGTTATCGAATTCTCTATGTTGACGTTGGTGAGTATGGATATAAAGGTGATGCCAATGTTTTTTCTTCGTCTTCATTGAAAGCAAAATTGAATGATAATTTGTTGAATATTCCTGAACCAACCCATTTACCAGGCTTGCCTGATTCTGACAAAATAAATTATTTCATTGTTGCTGATGCGGCTTTTCCACTTTCTTTGAACATTATGAAACCTTTTGCTGGCAATGCACTTTCACATCAGCAACGGATTTACAATTACAGGTTTATTTTGTAAAATTAAATTATTTAAATTTTAAATAGGATTTCAAGAGCTAGAAGGGTTATTGAGAATGTTTTTGGAATAATGTGTGTAAAATGGCGAATTCTTCTAAAACCCATTGAAACAAACATTGAATCGGCAAACTGGATTATTCGTGCTATTATTGTATTACATAATTTTTTAATTGATGAATCAACAACAAATAAAATACTTTCGATGGTTGATCATGAAACAGAAGTTTATCGAGATTTAGAAAATGGTGAATGGCGCAACTTATTATCTGGTTCAGAACCCCTTCCATCAACTCAACAAATTCAAAATCATGCAAGAAATTGGCCCGTTGAAGCAAAGATGATGAGAGAAAATTTAATGAATTATTTTAATAGTGATATTGGATCAGTTGCATGGCAAGAAAAAATGGTTTAAATTTAGTAATTGTTTGATAAAAATTTTTGATAAAAATTTCATTTTAATATTTATATCAAAAAAGTCGAGTGTCTACATAAAAAACGCTAGCGTTTTGCGGAAAACGCTGGCGGAAAAAACGCCGGCGGAAAACGCTGATGTGTGTCTACATAAAAACAGCGTTTTCCGCAATGCGTTTTTCCGCTAGGCAGAAAACGCTGTTTTTATGTAGACACTTTTTAGCGTTTTCCGCCAGCGTTTTTTCCGCCAGCGTTTTCCGCAAAACGCTAGCGTTTTTTATGTAGACGTAGCATTAACTAGAAAATTTGTTATAATCAATCCATCTACAAATAGCGGATAAATTTAATTTGTGTAAAAAATTTTCTCCAAGTAAATTGCCGCCACTGAATTTAATAAATTTCACAAAATATTGTTGTTTTTTAATTTTGATTTTAAGTTTATTTTTAACTTTATTCTACAATTTGTATGATAAATATCAATTTGAAATTTATACGTTTAAATTGGCAATAACGGTTTTCAAGAATAAAATTTATAAAATTATAAGTAAGATTAAAAAGATTATTAAACTGAAAAAAATGATTATTAAACAGCTCATGGCATATCCGCATGCAAATATTAGGTGATTTCCGCATGCAATATTTGGTGATGCAAATATTAGGTGACCTATTTATAAATTATATTAGGTGATAAATGTAGAAGTTGCCGTTTTGATAAATGTTTAATTGAAGGAATGGATCCTTTGCTGATTAAAATTGATAAGATGAATAGCCGAAATGAATTTATTAAAATGTTAGAAAAACGTCGAAATAAATTACAACAAACAAACATTAAAAATTATTACCAAGGTGATCGAAAAACTTTTTGAGTTGAAAATAACAAAAATTTCAATGAATATAAACAGTCAACAAGTAAGCAAGATGTTTGTATAAGCAGTGGATTATACTTCAATAACACAACAATTGGTGCGGTGCAAGAAAATTCTAGATTCTTGATGCTCCAAAATTATTAAAATTTTCGCCTGCGGCGCTCGGAAGAGAAGTTTTTTGGCTCAAGATTCCTCAAAAATTGTAAAAATTTTCGCCTGCGGCGCAAAATGATAGGGATAAAATAGAGAATGGATATCATTCAATCACCCAAGTCCCCCAACTTTATAATATTACTGTTGATACCTCTTAAATCCACCCAAATTTCCCTTTAAACCTCGATATCTTCTTAATCCCTCGATAATCTACGAATACCCCAACATCCCTCGTAATTCACTAAATTCCACGGTTATCCCTCTTAACCCTTTGATATCTCTCGATATCTCCTTAATCCACCCAAATCCTCTGAAATAATATATTTCATTGATTTTCTACCCGGATAACCCCAAAATTCTTTAAATTTCGGATAAATTCTTTGAATTCCGCATAAATTTTTCGAAATTATAGGTGTTTGTGCTGATGTTGACTGTGATCGTGTCAAATTAACAAAAAATAAACGAAAAATTTGGGCTTTTGTCCAGCTCATGCGTCCCATGAAGAGTCCCATAAAAATGTATGCGTCCCCTAAAAATTTATGCGTCCCAAAAATAATTTATGCGTCTCATGAAATGAATTGAAAAAATATTCAAAAATTAAAAAATGCAAAGTTATTAGTAGGGTTGCGCAAGGTCGAGGTTTTTCGAAAAAACAGAGACCGAGGATCAACGATATTGAAAAAGTGAGGTTCGAGGTCGAGGGACAAATTTGAGGCGGGGTCCGAGGTCGAGGTTCGAGGATGACAGATGTTTTTAAAAAATTTTAATCTTTTGAAAATTTAATTAAATTTGCTAAATTCAGTCAGATATTTGCTAAATCATCCCAAATTAATAATTTATATCTTATTCAGATCCAGGATCGAGACCGAGGCTCCGAGACCGAGAACCAGTCTAAGCGAGACCGAGATTGGAAGATGGGATTTTTTCAATTAATTTCATTGGACGCATAAACTTTTATGTGACTCGTAAATTATTTTTGGGACTCATATATTTTTATGGGACTCAGAAATTCTCATGGGACGCATAAATTTTCATGGGACGCATGAACTGGACAAGAGCCAAAATTTGACCTATAGGACCTAAAAATTGTCTTGAGTATTGTTAATTTTTGGTCTTGAGTCTTGGGGTTCAAGTCTTGGTCTTGGGGTGTAGTCTTGGTCTTGAGTCTTGAAAAATTTTTGGTCTCGAACGTCTCTACTATATTCGATATGATACCATTCGATTACACTCATCACACTGAGTCGAGATAAAAACTCGTAATATACAGGCTTTTGAAAATTGAAGAACTACGGGGACTATTTTTGGGATAAAAAGTTTACAAAAATGATAGCTCATTCGAAAGAGCTCAATGAGTTGAGTCGAATGACACTAAATTAAACATGATCTTTTATTTATTTTTTCCTTTATTTACAGTGGTGGAAAAAAGTATGGAAGCAAGAGCTTAAAAAGTAAACTTCGTTAAATTCCTCGACGTACGAACCCTAAATCATTTTTTGTCTACTATAAATTTTAAAGTCCTATCGATTACCTCTAAAATGAGTATAAATAGAAACCACTTTTATCGAGTATTTATCTTTTTATAATTGGCTAAAGTAAACAATGTAAATTTTGCGCGGAAAAAAGTATGGAAGCAAAAAAATTTTACGTTCTAAAACAAGTCGAAAAAATTTTAAAAATTTTTTATAAACATTTCCATTGATATTGAATGGAATTATAGAAAAAAAGAAGTCTGTACTTGCTTTCTTCATCGAGATCTCAAATCTCAAAAATCACTGGGAAATCGGGGTACAGTACTTTAAAAATTATTTTAGCTCCCTGAGACTTGTATAAAAAATTTCTTTTAGACCTATCTGAAAGCCCTTAAAATCTGCTACAAAATATGGTTGGTTTCATGTTTGTACAAAAATTTGTCTAGGAGATAAGGAGGGAAACATTTCATTATGAGCCGAAATCACTCAAAATACCCTATAAAATGCTTATTTTAAGTTTTAAGTATTTCGTCCCTCCTTATCTCCTAGACAAATTTTTGTACAAATATGAAACCAACCATATTTTGTAGCAGATTTTAAGGGCTTTCAGATAGGTCTAAAAGAAATTTTTTATACAAGTCTCAGGGAGCTAAAATAATTTTTAAAGTACTGTACCCCGATTTCCCAGTGATTTTTGAGATTTGAGATCTCGATGAAGAAAGCAAGTACAGACTTCTTTTTTTCTATAATTCCATTCAATATCAATGGAAATGTTTATAAAAAATTTTTAAAATTTTTTCGACTTGTTTTAGAACGTAAAATTTTTTTGCTTCCATACTTTTTTCCGCGCAAAATTTACATTGTTTACTTTAGCCAATTATAAAAAGATAAATACTCGATAAAAGTGGTTTCTATTTATACTCATTTTAGAGGTAATCGATAGGACTTTAAAATTTATAGTAGACAAAAAATGATTTAGGGTTCGTACGTCGAGGAATTTAACGAAGTTTACTTTTTAAGCTCTTGCTTCCATACTTTTTTCCACCACTGTATATTGATAAGCTTTTAATTCTTTTTATTTACAGGTTACTAGATTTTGTGTTATAATAAACGTTTGATATTGAAAATTAACGCCCATGCCCTTGTAGAAGCACACTCAATGAAACTATTGATTCAATGATATTTTAATATTTTTAATCAATTAAATTATTTTTATTATTTTATGATTATCCGCTTCCATGGATTTCAATTATAAGTGTGATTGTTCCGGAAATAAAATTAACTTCAAATAAAATTTAAGAATATTTTTTGTGTAGCATTGAAAATTTTAATATTCGTATTTTTATTCTAACTTCAAATTTGACTTGGTCCTCAAAGACATGTTATTTAAATGTGGGAGGGTATTGTTGAGGAAGGTTGTTGTTGGATCTTTAAACGTGTAGATTTGGTTTAACTAAATTGAAGGACCAGTTCCGGACTTTTACAAGAAAACGAAAAAGAAGCAAAAAAACTCTCGCGGAAGTCCATCGTATGAATTTTTAAAAATCCCCTCTCAAATCCAGGCAATGAATATTATTTCCTTGTTTAATTTAAAAAAGCCTAGTTAATCAACTTTAATAGTATACTGAAAATTTATTAATGCATATGTATATACATATATGTATGTACTAAATAAAATATGTATTTTTAAAATATTAACTAATATTTTTTTAAATTTACATAAAATTGTAGTTTATAGCAGAGGTGGGTCTTCAGAAGTGTCGGAAATCGGAAGAGCCGGAAATCGGAACTGGCTCAAAAGTCGGAACTCAAAAATCGGAAATCAAACTTTTTTTCGGAAATCGGAAATAGAAAGGAAAAAACTCCGGAAATCGGAAGTCTGAAATCAGAAAAAATTTTATTTTCAAAACTGAACTGATATATAAAATTGTAAAGTGGCAAATTATGATACATATAAAGAAGTTCAATACGAAATCAAGAACCGGAGATATTATCAATGGGTTAAAAAGGACATCGAGAGATTAAGGGAACATGGAGTAATTAAGGAGGATATCGGAGGAATTAAGAGGACATCGAAGGATCGATTAGAATATCGGGGGATTGGATTTGAGGGATTGGAATTTTGGATTTGAGAAGTTATAGAGGGAGGAAAATTTGAAGGCTTTAAAAGAGATATTGTGTGATTTGAGTGGTTAAAAAGGATATCAGGGAATTTGAGATTAAAAGCGATATTTGTGTATTAGGAGGGATATCGAGCGATTAATAGAATCGAAGTATTTAATTTTTTCCATTTCTAGTGCCGCAGGCGAAAATTTGGAGAATTTTGGAAGGCTGTAGCCAGATTTCACCCTCTAATCTTGATTTTGAGCCCGGATAAACAGGTTCAAAATAGTCAACGTAAAACTATGGAGCGTCGGCATGGCGCTTGTGCAAAACCCCATGATTTTCGCGGGGTTTTGCGGCACGCGCCTCGCGGGGAGTCGACGGTCTGCTGGACTCTGGGCTCGTAACATAATCCTATTTCTAACTCTATGATGTGGGAATCCTCTCGCACCAGCATAACCTCCACAGATACATATGTAAGGAGCTAAAACAAACGATCATAACTTTGTCCAACTTGTTAAATCACGGTGATTTGACTGATTTGACATTCGATTTGACATTTGACTCAGCTCGACAAGCTCTTTCGAATGACATATAGTTTGCCCATATTGGTGACCATTTTTAAACCGTGGCGCGACACATGAGGATATGACTTGAGGACCCGACACTTGAGAACCGACTTTTGAGGACGCGACCTTTGAGGATGCGACTCTTGAGGACGCGACTTTTGAGGATGCGACCTTTGGGGATGCGACTTTTGATGATCAGACATTTGAGGATACTCTAATGTCAAAAAAAAATTAAAAAATAAATAACGTTAATTTTATGTTTAAAAAATTTAAATTTTATAATTTTACGGCTTGCTCAAGCAAATGATTCTGGTTATCTGGCCTTACAAAACTTGACATTTCTCACCTGGCCTTCTGATCTGGCCCCATAGCCTACCAAATATTTCGAAATTTGCGCTGAAAAAGGAAGAAATTTGGCAGGCTGTTATTCCAAAATTCTAAATCCTCCTTAAAGCCCCGGTACACTGCATATCCTTCTTTTGATCCTATATCCTTCCAGACATCGAGGTATTCTTCCGATATCCATTCGAATCCGCTGGTATCCTTATTCGGGCGTGATATCGAAAGATCAATAGGTTAACCTTCTTTGATAACACTTTAATCCCCCTTGATCAATTCAGACCACTTTTATCACCCGATATCAAACCTCTTATATCAACAAGTTCACTTATATGTAAACCACCGATAATCCTTAATAACTTATAAACAACGAAAAAATTTTTGGTTCGGTCCCATTTATCCGAAAATTTTCGGTTCGGTTCTCCGGTTCGGTTTCGAATATCCGAAGAATTTCTGGGAACCGACAACCCTATTCAATTCATCAAAATTTTCAACAAACTTGCAAAATTTCAACTACTTCGAAAACTGAAATGATTATATTTAATAATGATCACTTTTTGCTCGTTAGGCCTTGAGCATCAGTATTTCAAGTATATTTTTCAAATCAAATCTATTTTAACATTCTGTTTATATTCCACTCATTTTGAAAAAAGTTTAAAAAATTCAGTGAAATTATTTTCAACAGAATTATTGGATTACGCAGATTGGGAATTAAATTATTATAATTCAGGTCATATTGAAGAATTGACGGCTCCTCTGTATTTCAAACATTCCAATAGTTATATGTAAGTAAACTGTAGACTTTCAGGGAACGGCTTCCAAGTACGACATTCGAGAAGCTTTATCTCGAAAAAAACTTTGAGAAAAAAATTTCAACTTAGCCAAATCGTTAAACAAAGTCTTATCTTTGTTTTAAAATCAAATTTATTGATTTTTAATAGGTTTAAAAAAAGTTACATATGGTTTTATAAGTAAATTTAGAAAATGAAAAATAAAGGAAAAAATTGTTTTGAAAAAATTTATTTTAATTTAAAATGACATTAAATGTTAATTAGAAAAGATATTATTAGGATTTTCTTATTATATAATTAATTTTCACTGAAAGGATTCGAACCTCTTGCAATTTTCGCTGTCACTAACCAACTAAACCATATTCCCGCACTGAAAGGCTGGTTGCACCCTCTGCCTGTTTTATGTTGCTCTGTATAACAATATTGGATAACATTCTTTAATTTATAATAATTAAAATTTAGTTAATTTAAAAAGCGGCACAAGAACAAA